GTAGTGCTTCTCCTTAGAAGCGCACTGTCACTACCACCATGAAAGTCCCAGCCTCATCCTCCCATCTCATCCATTTTCCTACCAAATGTGCCAAACACCATCTCAGTAAGGTGTGAGGCTTCACACATGAACGGAGATCTGGGGGGTACACTTCAGTCATAGCAGATACATGCTTGGCTAATAAATATTATAACCATGATCCTCCCTCACTCTGGCCACAATTTCCTTGAGGAAATAATTAAGAAGTGTACTGGGTTGACCAGTTAACTGAGGAAATTCAGTAATAATAGCAGCAGTCTATAAAAGAAAACAAACACTTCATTAGCATTTCAGAGAGTAAACTAAAGGAGAGGGCATGTTGTGCTACAATATATGGAAATAAGTTCCCAACAACTGTTTCTGTAGTTATTTAAAAATATATTGTGTTTTGTTGGATCATTGAACAAAACTGTTTCCAGTCTCACTGTTTGAAAGTCCACTTTATATGCTTTCGTTTTGTAACTTGAACAACTATTTCTAAGACAACAATATATAATCTATTAACTAGTGATTTCCTACTGTTTATGTTTTCTGAAATTTTGTATAACTTGTACCCTTTTTCTACTTAAATAATATATATATATATATATAGTGATAGTTTTCACAAGATAATATTTATCTTTTAATCCATAAATTCAAATACTTCCACAAAGCAGCAAAAGTATGACTACATAAGAGTGAAAACAGAGAAATAAAACATTCTAAAGATGAGAATGTGAGAGCAATACTACCATGTTATAAGCAGAGTTGTAGATCCCTCGTTGATGAAAAACAGAAAGCAATGATAATTGATCTCCAGCCTGCCTTGGGAATAGGCTGTAATTTTAATAATAATCTTACCTGTGTCATGTTCCTAAGTCAGATCCTTTGGGACATAGTAAATAACAAAACCCTACCATTTCTTGGTGCCCAAACTCACTAACAGAAAAGACAGCAACCCAAGTAAGTTCTCAGAGCATATTTCAAAACTGAGGTGAGAGTAAACATTTGATATTTAAAGTAGAACTGAATAGTCTTCAGGATAAAATCATTTATGTGGTATTTTCCAAAATAAAGCTAAGTAAGATTTCCTTTGATTTTCTTTCAGTTGCATGCATACATTTTATTGCATAAAGATTTGAACATTTCTAGTGAAAAATCTATCAAACATTTAGGAAAAATGAAACACTTAATTGACTGGATAGAATAAAATCTATTATAAGACTGCCCTCAGTTTTGCAAATCTGGATGTTCTATCCTGGATAAAAAGCTCCTCAAAACTCAGTACTTTCTATGCCACTTAGTATATATGATATAAGAGCAGTAGTTATTGAAAAAATTCATTGTGTATTTTCCATTATAAAATATTGGGAAGATTCTGCACCACAACATCAATGAAAAAGTCATGATTTACATGCATGCAGTCTGCAATCTAGCAAGACAAAATATGGAAGCAGGGGACTGCCATGTGTGTGACATGGTACTTAAAAGAGTTATGCTGAAAATAATCACATCACATACAGGTGAAAGGCGGTAACATGGCTTAAGAGTTAAGAATCAGAAAGGACCTGCAGGATAATTGGGTTTTCCTTCCAACTCTGTTCATCTTTCACCTGGTAGAGATTAATGTAAGAAGAAAACACATGTAAAAGCAGTGAAGGCATCTTAGGATATAACTCAGTGCAGAGGGATTGCCTAGCATTCTGAAACCCTGGGATCTACCCACAGTGCTCAACAAATGAACATGTAGTTCAGAATCATAGATAGATAATACACAGATAGATAGATAGATAGATAGATAGATAGATAGATAGATAGACAGACAGGTAGACAGACAGGTAGACAGACAGATATATCTTCTTGTTGTTGTTGCCCAATTCCTCGGAGTTTATCCAGTTGCTAATTACTTCATGACTATATTTCAAAATAATGCCCATATGTTTTTGAAAGTTGCAATTAGATTCTTAAAACCTTGAGAGGCTACCCATTACCTGTCATCATAAGCAACAGCACTGACCAATATTTTCCTCCATAGAAAATGGTAGAACCAGGCACACATATGTACTCAAAAGTTTAAGGTGATACCCTTTTCATAGTCTAAGAACATCTGACTTCTGCTGATGTAATTTTTTCTTTCACTTCATGATGTAATAAAATACACCATCAAAGCTGTAGATTTACTTTCCATTAACTTATTTTTATCTTGGATTATGTTTTAGAGCTGAAATTTGATAACAGTCTCTTAAGTATTCAAGTAAAGAGACATTTTGCTACGAAACTTTGTATCTACTGCCTAAGTTAAATATGGTCTGTGCTTTTACTGCTGACTGACCTCTAAGTTCAACTGCTGGAGGTGTTTGATCCTTAAGCTAAGCTGATTAGTATTGACAACTCTGATGTCAAATTTCAAAAGTGATTATGTTTATTCCTGTGTCCATATACCTTTTAATATATCAATTGAGAAAGTTTTGCAGGGTTTAGGAGACCAAAGAACAAACTGAATATTTAGTGTGCTGAAATGTATGTAATTAGTGCATGACAGAAATAAACTTAATCCAGATCACCCACTTCTAAATATGTGTTTAATATTTTTATAACCTATTTGCTTAACTATCAACCAGGTGCCAACTTTCAATAGACATCTACCATTAGAAAAGTGATTGTTTATTACAATGCTGCAAGTTCCATAGTATGTACTCTCTCATAGATGTAATCCGGGAGGGAGGATATAGTTCAAGGCCAGAGGCTGCCTAGCAAGCCTGAGGCCCTGGGATCAACTGTCTCCAGTACAAAGCAAAAAGAAAGAGAAGCAGGAAGGAAGTGAGAGAGGGCAAAAAGATGGGAAGAAAGAGAAAGGGAGAGGAAGAGCGAGGGAGAGGAGGATGGAAACTGGATATAATGATATGCACGAAACCAAATGGAAATGTCATATTTACTATTTTTGAAGGACCATATCTCTATTTTATGTTAAAGCAGACAGCTAAGAAAGTGTATTTTATCTAAGAGGCACAATTACCAATCCATGTTGCCATTATGAAAGTTCTAGAATCATATGACTTAATACTACTGTAAAATTTATTTTTCGTAGTGATGGATGTTTTAATGTAACTTTCAGAGCAAAGAAGCAGGTGTAGGAGGACTGACTGTGTTGCATGTTATATTGTAACTGATAACGAGAGATGTATAGTATTAGGACAGGTGATTCATCTGTTCAGCATTTTCTAAAACCTATTGAAAACTTGGCTATGTATGAGGGAATAAAACAATTCTCATTTTAAAAAGACAATCACGTTCATTATTTTGATTCAATGTTAAGCGGTAGTTGATTTTCAGACAACATCTCTGTACACTGAATGCAACATCTCTGTGCAGTGAATGCATACATAATATATTTATAAACCACTCCTGCATTTATTCTGACATGAATAATACTATAGGAAATGTCAAATGTATATCTCATGTGGGAGAAACCTTTGAAAATGTATTTGTAAGTGATTCATTAATCAACAGAGGAAGGAAAATAGTTCTTCAAACTCCTAGAAAATGATGCTTTTCTTCCCTTTTAATAAGAATGTGGAATAAAATTGGTTGCTAAAGGTATTAAGTACAAGATAAGGTGATGCTTTCCACCAGGAAAGTAAGGAGAGAAATTATCCTGTGTAACCAGAGGTTTTTTGCTGGGAGTGGTTGTAGGGAAGCAGTGTGTGTTTGCATTTCTGAGGTTGGTGGCAAAACTGGAAGATGTAGGATGAGGGAAATAATGGAGCTGAACTGTACTTGCAAAATTCTCCATGTGGTGAATGCACTACATTTTTAATTATTTTTAAAAGAATATATAGTGCATCAATATATAGTGTAGCATTTCCGAATGTGTATAGCATATGTTTAGAGATGAGAGTATCATTCTGGATTCATATTAACATCAGCATCCTAATTGTGAACCAAGTCTAAAACAAGAGGTAAAAAGGAGAAGATACTCCACATTAAATGGATCAAGAAAGAAAAATAAATAAATAATGAATGGAAGATAAAAATTATTCCAGTGTACATGCTTTTCAGTAAATGGTAACATCAGGATATATGTGAATTAATGTAAATTTATTGGATGACAAATGTTAGTTTTATTTTAATTAAACAGAGTAGTTTGAAGTGTTGATATTCATGTGTTTGATAAGTTTATTTTTTACATACACAGATGGATACATTTGTAGCTATATTTAGGCATACACTGATCCAGTACGGTGGGTATTCAGGGAACATAACAGCGAGGTGCAGAGAATCCTCATTCAGAGCATAAGTTTAAGTTCAAGCCATCACATCTCCGTTCCAGTATTTCACCTTTCTGAGGCTTCTCCTGCTCATCTGTAACATGGGCATATGAAAAAATAAAGTAAAACAATACCTTTAGGATGTAATAGTATGTATTTTAGAGTCTTACTGTTTTCAGTGTCTGCAGTATGAAGACCATTAGGAAGATGTGCAGATAGCCACAGTGGCCTTATGTGGCAAGCAATGAGTGTAAAGTTATAGAGCACTGTGAGGGGGCATTTCTGTAGTGTGTTCAGTGCTTGGGGATACTCAAAGGCGAGTGATTTCAGGAAAGCAGATTCATTTTCATTCACGTTAATAATGTCGGCATTTTCAATAAAGCTAGAGCTTTACCTATTTTAAAGATTAACGTTAAATTTTTAAAAATGCACAAAGCTTTTAAATACGGATCAAGTCCATCTGGACTGACTCCTATCATACAAGTCTTAGTTTTATAAATATGATTTGGGAGGAGAAAAATATATTTTCCCCAAAATAGTTCCTTTGACCTTCATTAGATTTAAAGAGCTCAAAACTGTTGATATTAGTTCACTACTTTCTTAATAATAATAATAAAACTACTTTTCAAGTTGTTAAGGTTGAATCATTATAGAAAAGTGAAACCTGATTAGACTGTACTCTTTACCTAGATGCATTAAAGCATCTAGGTGTTCATGGCTCAGACAAATTGCTCACAGGTGACAGAGTTTGTACTCCTTGGCCTCACGGACAAGCAAGCATTGAAGATGCCCCTCTTCCTGGCCTTCTTATTCATCTACATCTTCACGGTCGTGGGCAACCTGGGTTTGATCCTGGTCATCAGAACAGATGTGAGACTCCACACTCCCATGTACTTCTTCCTGAGCAACCTGGCTTTTGTGGATTTCTGCTATTCATCCGTCATCACTCCCAAAATGCTGGGGAACTTCCTGTACCAACAAAATATTATATCCTTCCGTGCCTGTGCCGCTCAGCTAGGCTGTTTCCTGGCCTTCATGACAGCTGAATGCTTGTTATTGGCCTCCATGGCCTACGACAGATACGTGGCCATTTGTAACCCTCTGCTCTATATGGTCGTCATGTCCCCAGCCATCTGTGTGCAGCTTGTAGCTGCCCCCTACAGCTACAGCTTCCTGGTTGCATTATTCCACGCGACCCTGACCTTCCGCCTCTGCTATTGCCGCTCCAACGTCATCAATCACTTCTACTGCGATGACATGCCTCTGCTCAGGCTTGCTTGCTCGGACACTCGCTCCAAACAGCTGTGGATCTTTGTCTGTGCAGGTGTCATGTTCTTCTCCTCGCTTCTGATCGTCTTGGTCTCATACGTGCTCATTGTCTCTGCCATCCTGAGGATGCGCTCGGCTGAGGGAAGGCGCAAAGCCTTCTCCACCTGCGGCTCGCACATGCTGGCGGTGACCATATTCTACGGGACCCTCATCTTCATGTACCTGCAGCCCAGCTCTACCCATTCCCTGGACACGGACAAGGCGGCCTCGGTCTTCTACACAGTGCTCATCCCCATGCTGAACCCCCTGATCTACAGCCTCCGGAACAGGGAGGTCAAGGAGGCGCTGAAGAAAGCTGTGGGCGGCAGCAGCCAGGCTTCTGTGCTTGTGAGATTTCAAAAATGACTGTAATAGAGGTTTAGCTCAGCGGCATAAGCGCCTGCCTTGCAAGCAGGCGGTCGTGAATTCGATCCCCGGTACTGATAAAAATGAAAAAGACCAAAAAAAAAAAAAAAAATGACTGTAATAAATAAAAATGGACAGTTTTGTGTTCTTATTGTTAGCATTCAAATACTATCTGCATGCCTTGTATACAACGTCTTTTATCTCTGTGTGATGAACTTTTTCAAACTGTCATGTAGAATGTCATTTTGAATCTAAAGATAATTGTAAGATTTTATGCTCCTATCATGTTTCAGTTGGAACATGTATGAAAATAGTTATCTGAACTTATACCAGCTTTTCCATTTCTTAAATTGAAATGCATTTAAAAGAGCATATACAATGATATATAAAGCTATGGGCAGAGCAGTTATAAAAGTTCAAACTACCTTTGTCCCCAAGCCTAACTTCCAGATTTAAGGGATCCACTAATAATGTACCAGGTGAAAAACAAAGTTTGCACCCTAAATACTTTCCTAAGTTTTAAACTTTTCACAAATTTAAAAGCTCCTTATATTGATGTATTTCACTTATTGTTTATGTTAAATAGACAACTCTCATTTCATTAATCAAACACAGCCTTCGGCTGACCTAGGGCAATTTCAGAAATATAAATTCTTACACTTTGCTGAGTGTGAAACTGCGACATAATTTTGAGATTATCTGTTGAAGTAATTCAGAGGAAGACTCCCCAGGTGAAGAGGGAGTCATATTTTAAATAAATATATTCACAAGAATTGAAACATCCTTTTGCTAGTATCAAGGGTTATAAGCAGTTGTTGAAGACAAATTGTGCTGGGGTGAATTGGTTATTATTTATCAAACTGTAGATTAGATCAATTATCTAGTAGGTGATGTAGTCTCATGAAAATTGACTACCCTTGAAGTCAAACACACCTATATTCTCTCCACCATTTTTCATTAATAATGAAAAAGATGTGGTTCTCAATTATAATCCTTTTGAGAATGAAGCAGCACTAAAAGTGCAGATAGCCCATAGTAGTGACTTGTGCACTGTCTGAGAGACTGAAGAACTGATTTTAGCTCCAAATATACTTAATTATAATCAGTGTGAAATTGAACAGCAATTTATTGTTGGCACATACTTATATTTCCAAGACTCAAAGCCAGCCTGGGGTGTACAGTCAAATCGTACCAAATTCCAGAGGCACATTTTGCACTCAGAGTGGTCACATTCACTCCAGGGGGTCTTTATCCATTGTTTCATTCATGTCGTTTCACTGTGAGACACTTTGTCAATCTGTTGCTTTCTGAAAGAAAGAGGAGAGAGAGGAGAAGAGAAAAAGAGATCATGGCTAATCACAGTCCTCCCTAAACCTTCCCTCTTCCTAAAACTTCGAGAAAAAGTATGGAGAAATAGAGTGCTTATCTGAATTCTGTACAATAATCAGAAATCTGGGTTACTCTGAAATAAGTCAACATATGATTTGTTATTTTCCAATTAGCTACATGGATAAATACGCACAAGTATCAAAACTTTACAGCAATATTTTATTTTTTTAAACAGTAGATAATTACTCCCCAGCTCTTCATTCAGTGAGAAAGGACTGCATGATCTCTAAATGTGGCGTAGTTGTAGATCCCGTAGGAGGGCAGATCACTGGAGTCACCTCACACCATTACTTCTAAGTGCTCTACACATCTGTGCGGCTGAGAAACTGCCTTAGATATCAAGTTGGCAAGAAACAACTCTAGTCCTGGTGAATGATCTTGTGTTTTTCCATCCCAGTTTCCTCATCTGCAGAAATCAATATAGTCCTTTCTGCTGAACTAAAAGTGAGGTTAAAGAAGATCATATAAGTAAAGGGGATGATCTAATCTCCGGCAAGTAATGTGCACTTCATAAATGATGGCTTTAACGTTTATTTAAGCTTTTTGCTTTAACAACAACTGATTAAATAATTAGTTGTTTTAAAGTAATTGGCAATATGTGAATGTTTGGTAACATTTTTCACTTTAAATTCAACAAAATGAGATTAAAAATCATTTTATTGTGTTTTTAAGCGATTTAATTTTTAAAAATTTGCAAGTGTGTTAATAAATATATTTTAATATGAATTTTTATAAATTCCCCTGCACCAAGTTATTAAAAGGATGAATATTTTTCTAAAAAAGTGATTGTGTTTCAATTAGTAAAGATTTGATTAATGTTATGAACTTATTTATTTCCAAATCTTTCAAGGTAAACTTAACCTGCTGTTTACTGAACACTTTTCACATGCCAGGAACTGGGTGAAGAAGTGTCTTTAATGTAACTGGATCTTACAGACTAGAACTTTTTTTCTGAGAAAGAAAAACTGCTTCTTTAAACTTCTTCATGACGAGAATGTGCACAGCCACACCATCCTTGCCTCAGTTTGAATGAATGAACAAATCCTCAGAAAACTAGGACGCCCACTTACAAAGCATGTGGGCATGTTTCTCACAGGTCAGTGTTCAGATTGGTTATCACAAAAATGGAAGAAACCACTGATCTCTGAGGGACAAAGAGGACTGAAAATGTCCTGTCTTTGATCGCTTTTTATTCTTCCCCTCCCACTCTTTCAATAAAAGCCAGTAACAGCTGAATAGGATGTCTTTTAAACAAGTTTTGAGATTCAAATATGGGCTAGGATCTTTCCTGTTATATAAATCATTTATTGGTAATCTTACAAAGCCCAGGAGCAAGTTAACTTACCTTCATCAAATATATACGATTTCTTACTAAAATTTAAAAATGTAACAGCCTATATGAATATATTAAAAAAGCAAAACCAGCTAAAATACTTTGTTCCACATATAAATTCTTTACTACAAGTACAGTTTCTTATGCCATAGAAATAATTATGTGATTAAACAAATTGGCTCCCAAAGATCAAGCACAGATAATTGCTGATTTGTAAAACTTCATTATATTTTTGGCTCAGAAATGGTTTCACATGATGCAATCTAAGAAATTTAATCTAGAGGGACAAAGAGATCACACAAAATAATCTCACAATATTTAAATAATGTTCAGTGTCACAGATACCTGCAGACTTTACATCAAGAAATAGTGGTCTCATTTTTGTCGAGTTTGTTGTGGATTGCTCAAAAGGGGTACTTACTGGGCAGAAAAAGCCACAGTAACTGAAGTACCAAACAAAGGCTTGGAGAAACATAATTGTTGTATTCATTTACTCAATAGTTTAAATATGGTTTCAAATATCTATGAATTTCTTAGTCCTTCAAGTTATAATTTTTTATTTTATTTATGATACCACAAGAAATGAGAGTATCAAACAAAAATATTTTATTTATCACAAGTTTTATTATCAAATTTAAAAGCCAGCACTCAATTTCAAATTTATTAGGAAACAGCAAAAGACGATTCATGTATTAGGAAGCAGACATCAAGGTGCCATACACATGGAAGAGATGGTGAAACTGAAGCTAATATAGCAATTAGAAAACCATAATTCAGAACTGAATTTGAAATTTATACAGATGAAATATAGAAAGTCTTAAAAAGTAGGCATGTTTGAAGAAAGTGGTTGAATAATTAATATTGTTTGATAATTATTTATTGGAGGTAGTTAGGAGATATGAAACAAATTTCTTTCACTTTTCCACTTGTAAGATTCGATGGGAGATGTCACCATTCCAGTGGAGTACAGTGGCTCTGAGGGGTATAAGTTGGATATAATGATTTCAAACTAATGAATTATCTTCAAATATGCAAATTATGAGTACTTTGAGAATGTCTAATTCAAGTGGCCCAGTAAGCAAGTAAATACACATCCCTGGGATTCATTGGAGAAATTTGGAAAGCTGAAAGTGTTCTGAGCAAGTTTTCAAGGAGGAGTGATGTTCCATTTTATATTTAATTTACTATTTATTTATTTTTGGACTCACCACCTCACGCTTGCTAAGCAGGCACTGTGCTGTTGAGCTATGCCACTGGCTATCAGCATTCCATTTTAATAGAAGAAGGGCAATGTTGAAGACTTTGGAGAGATTGGTAATATGTATAAATGTTGGGTTCTGATCTAGACCCCTGATCTCCCAAACGAGTGTATAGTGGAAGTTGAATAAAAAGAGACAAGTTGTATGATTTTTAGGGCTGCAGGAGGGTCCAAACCCTTTAATTAAGCTTGAGACTTCGAGGGTAAAGACAAAGGATTCTCTGATCAGTGCACTTATATTAGGACCAAGGACAAAGGGTGGAGAAACTGAGGACAGTGCAGGCAATGAGAAGGACCTTGGGAGTTACATCAAGGATGTCTCCAAGTCATGAATCAAGTCAGTTTATTAGCACTGTCTTATCATGAAGACATGGTAGAAGTGAACTGTAGGAGTAATTTTGCAGCTGCAGTCTCTACCTAGTTAATTGGGGTTGGAGCCAGAGTGTCTGCACCTGTGGCCTCATGTTGCTGTTTGAGGTATCTCTGACCTCATAGACCACCACAAGCCTCATCCAGGACCAGTGATTCATAGAGGTTCACTATGAATCAGCTCCCGTCTCCAGGCAAGGGGCCTAGGCCTAGGACAGACTCACAGATATACATAGAGAGCCAATTAGTAAAATTTAAATCCTTCTGAGAGCAGCTTTGTAGTGGTCTCCAACATAAAAAAAAAGCAAAAGGTACACAGATTTCACAGATCTTCAGTATACATACTAAACTGGTAGGACAGTAAGGATTAGAGACCTTACATTCACCAAGAAATGGAAGGCTATTTTAAAGTACTGCAAAAATTATTAAATTCCAACAGTTATCATTATGATGAGATTACACACAGGCCTCGACAGAAGAAGCCTCATCAAAACAAAATAGACTATGAAGAGCTAAAGTTGAAGAATTTGATATCAAGTATGACACATTTTAATCACCTGGAATGAATGAACTAGATTTATTACCAAAGTTTTCTAGCTAGTAATGAAATGTCTGCCTGTCTGAAAAGATATCATTTGCATAAATTATAAA